ATTGTAGGACTCTTGCAATGAAAAAGACAAAATGTCGTAAGAATTATGTCTTTTACTGTGTAAAGTCCTTTGGCTGAATACAGGTTTGGCAAGACATGACAAGTTTACTCCTATGATCATAACAATCACTCCCTTTGAGGGATTACAAGATGCTAGGTTCCTCCAGCTTCTCAGGGCTTAAATAGCTAGAGAATTCAGACCGTCCGAAATTGATGCTGAAGATCTGATATTGCAATCATGCCTCAGTGGAGGAACTGCAAAGCAAAAAAGACTCACTGCAGGGAGTGCTGTCATGCTGCAGCACAGATATTCTAGCAAAAGATCAGATGTGGCATTAACAGCCCGGCTCTGACTCTTTGCCATGGAATACCGCTCTGTATTTTGTTCTTGTTCAGGAATTAAAATGTGCAGTGTAGAGTGCAATTAGGAGGACATTTCTTTTGTCAGAAAAGAATTTACAGAGCTTTGATCAGCAATTAATGTGACTCCAAACTTGTACTGTGTTATTTACTATTGTATTCTGCCATGGCTTCATAGGAGGTAGTCTTAATTCTCAGTCTCCTGGGCTGCATTCACCTCACCTGGATAATTCACAGAGCTCTTGGTGACACATTTTCCCTGAATGTGAGTGATATGTAGTGTTTTGATAGCAGCAAGAGCCTGTCCCTGGCTCCCTGTCATGCAGCAGGTGCACATTCAACTTGCAATGGAGAAGAGGCAAAGAATAGAAAAGAATCATAGAATGGTTAAGGTTGGGAGGCCTTCTCACCAAAAGCTTGATGCTGCTCCTTTGTCACGGATTTCAAAAAAACTTGCTTTCTCTCCTAGCATCTGATTTACTTTTTTTCTCCATCTCAATAGTCAGCTCCATGGTAGCTAATAGCTAAACCAACACATTTCTGGAAAAAAAAGAGGAAATGAGAAATTACAGAGCAGATGCAGATCATATGCAAAGAAAACACCAAGTAACACATGTATATTTAGATGCACTTACAGAGAACATGTAATATACCAAACCACTACCCTCAAGTGAAGTCAGAAATAATAAATGGTATCAGAGACTTTCTTCTGCAATGTTTGCCATTTCAAGGGCAGTAGCTACCCCTGAACTTTCTTTGCATGCTTTACTTTCTGTTTTCTGACTCTGAAACTATTACCATCCCAGTGATTTCAACTGGAAGATAATTTAGGCTGAACACTGCTTTGGTTTAACAACGGAATATACATAAATGGAGTCACTTGGGGTTTTTTACTGTCCTGGTTTGAGCCATGACATTTACTCATTATGTCTGGCTGAACAGCGTTGTGCATCAAGGGAGGTAATGGGCCTGATTCCTCATCTCTCTATATAACCTGCTCACATCATTTGAAGGTTGCAGAGTGCTCAGAGCTTTCAAGAGAAGGCTGACTGGAAGTGATCCACAGCACGTGCCATAGCAGTTTGCATGCAAAGGGTGACAGCAGTGGTGTGACTGCCTGCTGGTGTCCCCAGCGGTGGTGGCACAGGAGGAGCTGTGCAGTGGGGCCCCTGCATGCCTCCACATCGACAGACAGAATCACACCTCCTTTGCCTCATTACCTAAGGACTTCAACCAAATACAGCTCACCTGAATTCAAGAGCTAGCTTCAATATGTAACTGCAGGTCCCTCAAAAACACTCTTAATAAGGATAATTTTTCCATCATATGTGTTTTCACAAACATTAGATCATGCTCCGTGACCCTGCATAACAAGCTCTTTTCCAGACAAACTTAGATGTGCCCTTCTCCCTCTCTTAACAGAAAGGGCATAAAGTAGTGCACTATCAAGGTCAGTCACAACACACAGGGATACCTAGGATTACAGAAATCAAGCTGGTTACAGATTATACCAACCCAGAAACTCAGTCTGGAAATAGAAAAAGAGCTTTCCAAACAGAATCTGAAGACAACTTTACAAGGTTAATACAGAGACTTTCAGGCTAGCAGGTGTCTTGTTTTCATTTTTCTCTACCCAGGAAGCATTTATCACTATGAACTTCACTGAAAATTTTGAAATACAGTAAAATGAGGAGAGGAGACTTGCAGGAGAATGTCTCCCTTTGCTACAATCTGTTCAGGAGAAAGGAAAGGATATTTGTATATGTGTGTAGGAGAGAAAGAGGTTTGAGGCGGGGGAGTATAACCAGAGAAATTACAAATACCATTTCACAGTGGAAGTGTGAGAACACAGGATCTCTATTTTATCTAATATTTGTGCAGTTTCCGTCAGTGTATAAAGGAAAACAAATCCTGCTAATTTAAATAGCTACAGTGACTTGCAAAAATGTAAACAAGCTGCTATTCAAACTTCAGGGGAAATTATTAGACATTTGATTGCCTTTTTGACATGTAAGATGAAGGAATAGAAGTTCTTTTACATTATCCTAACTGAAAACTGCACTTTTTGCTATCTCTAGAGCTGTAACAGCATTGTTCTATTTTTATCAGGATCTTTTTATTTAACTTTTAATACCTTATTATTTTAAAATTTTGGAAAATATATGTTAATCTCAGCAGAAATAGAAGTAATTAAGTTTGCAAATGTCACGAGTTGACTCAGGATGGGCAGTTAAACCAGCAACAACAATGCTTTTGATCCCCTCCCCTTCCTACCCAGGTAGGGAAGGAGAGAGAGAATGAGAGACTCTCTGGATGGAAAACTAAACTACACTGCTTTAATTAAACACTAATGATAAAATAAAATATGTACAATTATATTCAAATGTATTCAGGAATATGCAAACCCCTATTGCCTCCCCCCACCCCCAGCAACTCCTTCCGCATCTCCTTAGCTGTGAACAGTCCAAAAAGTCCCAGAGCTGCCAGAAGAAGCACAGAGCGATGAGGGTCAAGAGAGCTCAAGCCTGGGAGTCGGTGGTGATAGATGGACAGAGTCCTCCCTGGATGCCGGCCATGGATGGAAGAGAAGAGAAGAAGAAGCAGGAAGGAAGTTGTGTTCTTTTATCTCTGACCTTCCTCTGAGCTTGTGCAGATCTATGGAATGGAATATCTCTGGCCAATTTTGCTGTCTGTCTAAATCAGCCTCCTATGGGGGGTCATAGATCTCCCCATAGTGTCTGAGCTGGCAGAGCAAAGACATGACCTTGAAGTCCCAGCAACAACAAAAACATTCTAGTGCTATCAGTCCACTAGCTGGAACATTTTCTTCTAGTTAAAAGAGAGCTTAGTGATGGAAAAAAACATCAGTAAAAGGAAAATTGGCTTCATCCTGGTTCAAACAAGGACAGCAAGCAACACAAGTGTGGGGCTCAGCTAGCAGCAGGTGCTGTCTCCAGTGCAGTGCCTAGTGCTCTGCCACACCACAAGTTCCACGGGATATGAAACCAGCATGCTGCAGTTCTGGCATGT